TTTCGGAAAAAAACCCCATTCAAAACGATTCGAAACTTTTCAAAGATTCAAAACTTTTCACAAAACGTATCTACGTTTTTTGAGTTGAAACGTTTTTGCACAAATCATCTTCAAAAAATCCACTAGGTTATTTGGACGCGAAAAATCAAAATGATAAAAAATAACATTTTTTGTGATTTTAGGGAGTTTTTAAGTAATTTCAAATATTTTTTCACTGTCTTGACAATTCAAATTTCAAAATTCAAAATCATAAAAATATACATTCATATCATTTTTTTAAATTTTGAATATTTTTCAAATTTTAATAAAAAGGTCATTTTTGAACGTTTCTTTCCAGGAAAGATATGGGCGGTACTTTCGAGGAGAGAATGAATACTAATAGTTTGTAACTGGAGGTATATATATTGAATGAAAAGTTTACTTACAATATTTGCGTCTCGAACATTGCCCACGATAGAAGAAATGGGCTGCCGACGCTTCTTTAACTGCCTGAGGAACAGCTCCGTTGTCAGCCTCGTTTTTGTTTTAAAGTTTCAAACGATCGGTGATTGTCGACAACAACTCGCCGGAGTAGCTCTGTGGAAATAGTCTCTGAAAATAAACCGTTTTGAAAAAACACCTCTCGATATGTGAACTCACGACCAGCTTGGCAATTAATGATCTTGCCTTTGTGGAAGTTTTTGCCTTCTAATTTTCTCACAAGAGTCTTCAGGAAAGTCACGGTGCCATTGGCTGAAAAGGGTCGTTAGATAATCGATTTTTCGATTTTTGAAACTTGAGAATTTCAAAATTTCAAATTGTCTATTCTTCAAGATGTTTCTGATTTTTGAAGTTGTGTAATGTTTTGTACAGATTTATGCAAACGAGATAGGAGACTTGTAAATGTCAATATTTCCAGAAACTGCACAGAATCAATTTGAAAAAAAAACAAAATTTCTAGCCTTATCCAACAAAAATTACTACTTTTAGCATAGAAATTGATGAAAAAACTCACCTTTTTTAGAATAAAGACTCAGAAACAATTAATATTAGGAAATCCTTCTATTCAAAGGATTTATAGAAAATAGTAAAAATATAATAGGAGATAGCTGATAGGGGTTAGAGACTATTCAGGAAAATCAAAAGGAGACTCTCAAAAATCAATTCATTTTTAGGTTTTTTGAAGAGCTCTCGAGAATATGTTAGACGGCTATTCAGTAAAGTCGTCATGAGGAGAGAATAAATGCTAATGGTTGATACCCGCCGGTATATATACCCCACTTGGGGAGGAGCCTTTAGGGTCCAACCAGGTGGGGTTCTACTATTGTAGGGTCTCTCTTCACCTATTCAGTTATTTTCAGTGTCATTTAGACTCACAGTCCCATTTTTATTGTTTTCAGAAAGTGTCCAACCAGGTGGGGTTGAATCACAATGCAACGGGAAGTGTAATTTGGATTCACACTTTACATACGTCATTTTATTACAGCTATTCATTAACAATTCAAATTACATCTATTGTTTTATGAGCATAATCTTGAGGAACTCCATTGCACATAGGTATTTTTCTTAAGGGAAAAGTCCATTCAGACATGGGATGAAGGGGGCAAAAGAGGTGATTGGAAAAAGAGGAATGCCTGTTTTGTTAAAGTCTGATTCAGATCTGGAAAGAGTGTGATCTAATGGTGTGATTCTGATCTAGAAATCAGGCTGGCTATGGGTGAACGTCACTTTCCTAGTATTGGAATCCAAAGTAGTCGCAATGTTAGATCTTTCTAATGCTGAGTCGGATATTGCTTAGGAGCTAACCTGTAGAATTCGAAAAAAAGATGGATGATGAAGTCTCTGAAAGTTTTTCCGTTGTAGTCTTCACCAGAATCAATTCAAATCTCACCCATTATTATGTTCACAATGCTGCCGCTCTTGTAGGATTTGATTGAGAATTTTCTCGACTTTTTAAGTATGAATGCCTTCAATTTTAAGAGTTTTCCCTGCTTTTCGTCAAGTCTTTCTCCAATTGCCTATGATCGTCTGGAACGTGATCAAAGAAAAACGAGATTGCACTGTGATATTTTTGTTTGGAAGTTTTCAGAGACGTCGGAAAAATCCAAGATTAGATCTAGCGGAGAACTGGAACTTCCCATAATACAGCTGTTATGACTTGAAAGAAGTAGTAAATCTAGCGTCCATTTTTTCACACCAGAGTTTTACAAATTTCGGGTGCCTCAAAATAACGACATTCACTTCAAGGCGTTCCACTCTAATTGATTCGTTTCTTCCACCAAAAAGAAAATTCGTGAAATATGCATGGGCTTCAAAACGAGTTGTTTTGATTTTGAACCTTTCAGCATATATTCGGTTTTGATATTTTGCAGTCAGCTGAACGTTCGAACATTCCATTGAACATATCAATTTTATAATTGACCTCATATATGGATGTCAAATCATATGAGAATTCCAGATTTTGGCATTTGAATGGCAAGGATTTTTCTATGGCTCTGAGCGATGGGCAACGCATTGACAGAGAAATTCTGGAAAGCAAAGTTTTCAAAAAAGGATTCTGACAAGGGAACCTTTTAAGTTGACCCTCTAAGTTGCAAAAACTAACTTAACAGGATGAAAGGCCATGTTTGAAAACTTAAAAAACCGTTTTCAAAATCTGCTTAAGAAACCTCAAAAGTACTGAAATGTCAAATTCAGTACCAAAAAATCACTTTTTCAGTGTAAAATCGGCAATTTTCAAATTCGATTTTTTCCACTTCTAGGAGGTTTAAGGGTTTGAAACTTTTTGTGTTATGCTTAAAATGATTTGAAATTACATATTTTAACATTTTTATCAAGACATGTTCAATTTTATATTGTAACAATTTTATTCAAAAAATTTTTTCTGAAAAGTTTCGGAAAGTTTCGAAATTCGCTTACACTTTGGGTCTGCCCAAGTTTTCATTTTTTGAACATTTTTTTGATAAAAATGTTAAAATATGAAATTTCAAATCATTTTATAACACAAAAAGTTTCAAGTCCTTAAACCTCCTAGAAGTGGAGAAAATCGAATTTGAAAATTGCCGATTTTACACTGAAAAAGTGATTTTTTGGTACTGAAACTGAAATTTCAGTACTTTTGAGGTTTCTTAAGCAGATTTTGAAAACGGTTTTATAGGTTTTCAAACATGGTCTTTCATCCTGTAAAGTTAGTTTTTGCAAGTTAGAGGGTCAACTTAAAAGGTTCCCTTGTCAGAATCCTTTTTGAAAACTTTGATTTCTAGAATTTCTCTGTCAATGCGTTGCCCATCGCTCTTTCAAATGCCAAAATCTAGAATACTCATATGATTTGACATCCATAGATCTTATTATTGCTCCTTTTCCCAAAATTCCAATTTTAAGTACGGTACAGTGGAAAACAGGCCAAGATTTGAGTTCTACATGTTAGCTCCTAAGCAATGTCCGTCAGAAAGAATGTGCGTCAGAAAGAACTAACATTGCGACTAATTTGAATTTCAATACGAGGAAATTTACGTTCAGCCATAGCCAGGATGCTTTTCAGATCTGAATCCTAGCATTCGAGCATTGTCTGATTAAACACAAATGTTTTTTTTTTAAAATTACCCATGTGAAGTGTGAATGCGAATCACTCTTCCTGTTACATTGTGATTCAACCCCACCTGGTTGGACACTTTCTGAAAACAATAAAAATGGGACTGTGAGTCTAAATGACACTGAAAATAACTGAATAGGTGAAGAGAGACCCTCCACTAGTACAACCTTACCTGGTTGGACCCTAAAGGCTCCGCCCCAAGTGGATATATATATATATATATCGGCGGGTATCAACCATTAGCATTTATTCTTTCCTCATGATGACTTGACTGAATAGCCGTCTAACATATTCTCGAGAGCTCTCCAGAAATCCTAAAAATCAATGGAATTTGGAGAGTTTCTCTCCTGTTGATTTTCCTGATCATTCTCCCTATTATATTTTTACTATTTTCTATAAATCCTTTGAATAGAAGGATTTCCTAATATTAATTGTTTCTGAGTCTTTATTCTAAAAAAGGTGAGTTTTTTCATCAATTTCTATGCTAAAAGTAGTAATTTTTGTTGGATAAGGCTAGAAATTTTGTTTTTTTTTCAAATTGAATCTGTGCAGTTTCTGGAAACATTGGCACATACAAGTCTTCTATCTCATTTGCATGAACCTGTACAAAACATTCCACAACTCCAAAAATCAGAAACATTTTGAAGAATAGACAATTTGAAATTTTGAAATTCTCAAGTTTCAAAAATCGAAAAATCGATTATCTAACGACCCTTTTCAGCCAATGGCACCGTGACTTTCCTGAAGACTCTTGTGAGAAAATTAGAAGGCAAAAACTTCCACAAAGGCAAGATCATTAATTGCCAAGCTGGTCGTGAGTTCACATATCGGGAGGTGTTTTTTCAAAACGGTTTATTTTCAGAGACTATTTCCACAGAGCTACTCCGGCGAGCTGTTGTCGACAATCACCGATCGTTTGAAACTTTAAAAGAAAAACGAGGCTGACAACGGAGATGTTCCTCAGGCAGTTAAAGCAGCGTCGGCAGCCCATTTCTTCTATCGTGGGCAATGTTCGAGACGCAAATATTGTAAGTAAACTTTTCATTCAATATATATACCTCCAGTTACAAACTATTAGTATTCATTCTCTCCTCGAAAGTACCGCCCATAAATTTTTTCTATCTAATAACTGGTTTTGGAGTATTTGTGACATCAGGTACCATCGTTATAGTCGCTCAGAACCGTAGAAAAAGCATTGCCTTTCAAATTTCAAAAGCTGTCAAATTTCAAATGGACTTTTCCCATAAGAAAAATTATCTATGCACAATGGAGTTCGTCAAGATTATGCTCATAAAACAATAGATGTAATTTGAATTGTGAATGAATAGCTGTAAAAAAATGTAGTATGTGAAGTGTGAATGCGAATCACTCTTCCTGTTACATTGTGATTCAACCCCACCTGGTTGGACACTTTCTGAAAACAATAAAAATGGGACTGTGAGTCTAAATGACACTGAAAATAACTGAATAGGTGAAGAGAGACCCTACAATAGTAGAACCCCACCTGGTTGGACCCTAAAGGCTCCTCCCCAAGTGGGGTATATATATATCGGCGGGTATCAACCATTAGCATTTATTCTCTCCTCATGACAACTTTACTGAATAGCCGTCTAACATTTCATCGAGAGCTCTCCAAAAAGCCTAAAAATGAATTGATTTTTGAGAGTCTCCTTTTGATTTTCCTGAATAGTCTCTAACCCCTATCAGCTATCTCCTATTATATTTTTACTATTTTCTATAAATCTTTCAAAAAAATAATTTCTCAATACAAAATGTGAGTTTTTTTTCAATTTCACAAACTTCGCCCTAAAGGCCTATAAATATAGCATTTTTTGTTGGATGAGGCTGAAAAACTCTATTTTTTTGTCAAGTTTACTTTGTGTTGTTTTAGGAAGTTCAGGTATTTGGTTGGTTACAAGTTTTTTATCTCATTCACATGAGTTTGTGCGAAAAATTCTCAACTCAAACAATGGGAGATACATTTTTGAAAAAGTTCTGAAAATGCAAACCGCCAACCAAGAAGAATTGTAATTTTATAATTTAAGTCTGGCGGTAATTTGGAAATTTTCAGGTTTCTGCGAGCTTTGCTCTAGCGCTTTTTAGAGAAATCTAATCTTTGCGTACATGTTAACAAAACGCATGGATTTCCGAAGATCCATTTGAAGAATTAAATTGCCCGATTGAAGACGTCAGGTCCGGAACTCGATGAGTGTCAATTTCTGAAGGACGTTTTTGTAGCTTATCGTTCGATCCAAAAATCATCTTCTGCACCACGTCGTCGTGAAATTGTGCTTTACAGTTGAATCAAAAATCTTCAGAAGTCGAAAAACGAGACATAAAGCCGTAAGTCGGAAATTCCTAATTCTAAAATTCTAAAGAAAAAGTTTCGCGATTTTTTTGCAAACATCTAACTTTAATACCTAGTACAAATTCTCAATTTTTTCAAAGCTAGGAAATTGCTTATTTCAAAAATGCATTTGAGATTTCGCTCAAAAAACTTTGAACCAAGTTGTGAACATTTATATAAAAAGACATTAAAAATTTTTAGATAGAGGCGTCCTATTGCTTAACACTCTTAAAATGAGCATAACTTGGCACTGAAAAATCTGATCTTGATGAATTTTATATTTTCAAAAACAGCACTTTTCTGCTTCAGAATGATATGTATTATCTCAATTTTGAATCGGAAACGAAAATTTTGGAGAGCTTGTTTCCAATTGTTTGTTTGTTACTATTTTTTCCAACAAAAAAAAATTCAAAATCAGATTTTGTATCCTTGCATGGAAAGAATATCAAAATCTAGCTAAAAATTCAACAGATCAACAAATTTTTGTCACAGAACGCTATATATTAAGTTATGGCGTTTTAAACAAGCGTGACTTTTTTCACAAAATTCAAATTTGAAATTGGCGTAATTTTGGCCGATATTCTTTGTTTTAAAACAATGTTCATTTTTTTTCGAAATGAACGTATATAAGAAATTCTAATTATCAATTATTTCTCAGAGATGTCCAACGATCAATCAAACTGAAGCCAATTGCCGAGCAGGATGCAGATGAGGTCATAACTGTGGAGACCACAATTGAGGTGAAAAAATTTGCCAAAGCACTCCGAGATAAGGTGAGCAATCTTTCCTGGAAAGAAACATTCAAAAATGACCTTTTTATTAAAATTTGAAAAATATTCAAAATTTAAAAAAATGATATGAATGTATATTTTTATGATTTTGAATTTTGAAATTTGAATTTTCAAGACAGTGAAAAAATATTTGAAATTACTTAAAAACTCCCTAAAATCACAAAAAATGTTATTTTTTATCATTTTAATTTTTCGCGTCCAAATAACCTAGTGGATTTTTTAAAGATGAATTTGTGCAAAAACGTTTCAACTCAAAAAACGTAGATACGTTTTGTGAAAAGTTTTGAATCCTTTAAGGCTCATCTCCTCTTCCGAAACGCTTGAAACAACTCGAGTGGTGAATGGAAAAGCCAAATGTGGGTTTTCCAGTTTTTAGTTTTTTTGAAAAATCTGAAATTTCGTTACCGGTCAAATTATAATTTTTCAGTTTCTTCCGAATTCTGTACAAAAGATTTCACAAAAAATCTTACTTGAACAAACACCGAAAAAAGAATCACAATGCTCCAGAAGTTTTTAAAATGAAAGAAGCAATCCGTTAGTTTTAAACAGTATCAAAACACAGAAATCGACTAAATTACAAATAAATGCGGAACTTGCCAGAAAAATCACTGCTCGACATCCAGCTTAAAGAAAAATTTGAAAGAGAAACACACAAATAATCCGAGACAATTTCCGGGTAAGACAATGAGTATCACTACAAATGAGCTCAATTATCTCAATTCCTATGCCAGATATGAAAAATTGCCAATTGATAAAATGTTTATCATAATATCAGTAAAATTTTATCAGTTGACAAGTTTTTCATATTTTTGACAGGAATCCAGATAATTGAGCTCAAACATTACTTCTTTCTTTCAGACAACTCCCAAATCCCACAGGCGCCAAGTTGAGCAAAATAGAGACGCTCAAATTGGCCAACGCGTATTTAAATTCGTTGAAAATGATGTTGAATGAGAAGGAGGACACTAAGTTCCAGCCAATGGTCACTGGACACAAAAAAAATCAAAATGGAGCCGACGGAGCCCAAAAGGATAAAGCAGGAAAACGTCAAAAGTATCGAAATGGAGATTTTGGAATACCAAGAGCGGGCAGAAGTCGTAGAATATGGAAATAGAAAGTTTTATGAGAA